ACTCATCATCCAGCAGTGGAGAGAGAGAGAGCGCAAGAGCAGCACGACTGGACGTCACCGGGCGTCACCGAGCGTCGTGCCAACTCGTCATCCAGCAGTGGAGAGAGAGAGCGCAAGAGCAGCACGACTCGGACGTCACCGGGCGTCACCGAACGTCGTGCCAACTCGTCATCCAGCAGTGGAGAGAGAGAGAGAGCGCAAGAGCAGCACGACTCGGACGTCACCGGGCGTCACCGAGCGTCGTGCCAACTCGTCATCCAGCAGTGGAGAGAGAGAGAGCGCAAGAGCAGCACGACTCGGACGTCACCGGGCGTCACCGAGCGTCGTGCCAACTCGTCATCTAGCAGTAGAGAGAGAGAGCGCAAGAGCAGCACGACTCGGACGTCACCGGGCGTCACCGAGCGTCGTGACAACTCGTCATCCAGCAGTGGAGAGAGAGAGAGAGCGCAAGAGCAGCACGACTCGGACGTCACCGGGCGTCACCGAGCGCCGTGCCAACTCGTCATCCAGCAGTGGAGAGAGAGAGAGCGCAAGAGCAGCACGACTCGGACGTCACCGGGCGTCACCGAGCGTCGTGCCAACTCGTCATCTAGCAGTAGAGGGAGAGAGAGCGCAAGAGCAGCACGACTCGGACGTCACCGGGCGTCACCGAGCGTCGTGCAAACTCGTCATCCAGCAGTGGAGAGAGAGAGAGCGCAAGAGCAGCACGACTCGGACGTCACAAGCAGAGACACGCAAGAGAGGCTCGCGGCGGCCACGCCCAACCCAGAGAAAACTTCTGGCTGCTGTTTGTATCCTCCTACACCACACAAGCTAACGACACAATTAATATTACGAGGGGACAACGCACACACAGCACGCACACGAATAAGACTTTTAAAAAAAATATATCTTTGCGTTTCAAAAAGGGTTGCCATTTCGAGGTGGTGCGTTCAATATCAACTGATCGTGCAAAGCAGTTGCTGCCGTCGAGTTACATGAATAAGAAATGTTTTAGTCATTCATTTTCGTTAACTGCATAATTTCGCCAATGAATAAGTATTTTTAAATCCTTTATATTAAGTTCACTTGCTTGCTTGCTTGCGCGCTTACGACCGTGCAAATCTTTCGGTCGTTTTTTAACCCACTTCCCGTGATCCAATCGAGCTGACATTTTGCACACAGACTCGTTGTGCGTGACAATTTATTTTCGTGAACATTTTTTCCAAAATTTTCCACTTTTTAGGAAATCATATATTTTTCCTAAACACAGAAAATTATTCAAGAAAACAACAAAAATGTACAATATAAACAATCATACAAAAACTGAAAACCTTATAATCCTTATATACGACTTTCCTTATATTTAATTTAAAATACCAATGTGATAAAAATGAAACTCTTACTCAAGAAAAACAGAAATGAATAATAAAATAAAACCGATGCCACGCATATAAAGGATTTATAGTGCAAAACTTTGTTTTAACGGGTTAATTTTTTAGTCATTCATTTTCGTTAATTGCATAATCGAGTTACATGAATTTATTGACGTATACCTGCTTTCGCATAAGAGAGTGTCATGTGCTTGTTTAGAATTAAAATTGCTTAACACCAACTGTTCGAGTGCTTCTTTCCAAGTCCATGCAAAACTGTCTTATTCTTGATAACTGTATCCTGTGATGAGATCTGAACCTGGAGACCTAAAATATCATAACACACACTAGGATAATCGGTAAATAAATCTATGATAATCGTGTTATCCTGATTGATATAACTCTGGATAAACGAAGCTAAGCCTAATTATCACAACTGCACACATTAACATAATCGCAAGCATCCGCATAAATTACTACGATTATCTCCGTGATTATCATAATTTATGCATATAATTACACACATTATTATAATTTATGCATGTTAATACACACATTAACATAATTAGTGCGATTTGCGCATTTTTTGGAAAATTATTAATTTTTATTATTTTTATCAAAATTTCATAATTCCAACACATACAACAGATTTAACTACACTTATTTGGCCAATCTTATTTGACAAACAACTATTACAGGTTATTGATAGACAGCCAGGCTTGTTTTACCATGTTTAGTTGTTTTCTCCTTTTCACACTATTGTTATGTAGGCCAGGTTTAGTCACAAACCGTACCTCTCCATAACTAAGGCTCACCCTCTTAAGCCTCACCTTACCATATGAATAAAACGTGTGCCGTACTTGGCCCTTCCCCCCTCTCCAACCATTATATATACGGAGTGGTAGCTCTTGCAATCTCTCATTTACTTGATACAGCTGTCGTGGCTGTGACGGTTCCACCTGAAGACGGAAGCTTGTGTTGCCTCCGAGACGTCGTGATTTTTATTTTATTTTACTTTTAATGTTTTACCTACGTGACTTTACTGAAAAAACCTAAGAATATAGTTTTGATGTGGTTTCCTTATTCACCAAAGTTCCTGTACCTGACACCATCGCAATCATTGAAGACTTGGTTCATCAAGGACTGAATACTGGGGTTCCCCCCCCTGGTGAGACACTGCTTAACCAATACATACTTCACCTGGAATGGAACTTTCTACAAACAAACTGAGGGCACCCCAATGGGCTCCCCCTATCTCCGGTTATAGCCAACGTGTTCATCGAGAAATTTGAGACTGACGCCATCCAGACTGCCACTCTACGCCCGACCTTATGGAAGAGGTACGTAGATGACACTTTTGTCATCTGGCCACATGGCTGTCCTGCTCTAGACCAATTCCTCGACCACATCAATTCCATACACCCAGCCATCAGATTCACCATGGAAGTCAAAAAAGATGGCAAGCTACCCTTTTTTGATGTCCTAATTAAAAGGAGACCTGATGGTTCAATGAGCCATTCTGTCTACAGGAAAGCCACCCATACGGATGCTTACCTAAAACCGGATTCCCACCACCATCCATCCCAGAAGAACTCCCTCATCAAGACTCTATGCCATAGAGCCCAATGCATCTCCGACCAGGAACACATTGCCAGTGAACTCAAACACGTACGCCAAGCTCTTAAGGCAAATGGTTACTCCGACTACACAATCCGCAAAGCCATCACTCCAACCATCAAGAAGGATCCTGTTGAGGAGCCTTTCAAAACCATCACCTTACCCTACATTGCTGGGGTCACAAAAAAGATCTCCAAAATCCTGATTAAACACAAGATCCAGGTCCGATTCAACACAGTACATAAAATCCGTGATCTGGTCCCGTCTGTAAAAGATGTGGTTCCAGACATACAGTACCCTGGCGTCTACAAACTAAGTTTCCTCTGTGGTAGCAGTTACATTAGAGAAACCAAACGACATGTCTCGGACCGCATCCGTGAACATAAAGCAGACCTGAAACACGGTAGGACAAATACCTCAGCCGTGGCAGATCACTGTTACAATTCAGTGGGCTCACATGACATTGACTTCTCCAAGACAGAGGTTCTCTGCAAGCCATCTGGCTACCACGAGAGATTCGTTCATGAAGCGATCCACATATACAAACACAGAGACAATTTCAACCGAGAAGATGCATTCTGGCTCAGCAATCATTGGAAGGACGTAATAAACCATTTCGGATCTTAACTGATTGTGTTCACGTTTACGGTGACTTTCAGACCGCAGTCCACTCACTGGCATTGACTATATATCTTGTATTCTCCACAGGGAATGGATTCTTTGCTCCGCTGCAAGTCTTCTACCACCACTCTCCCATTGACATATTTCGTTGCTTCCTCTTATTATCTTTCATGCGACGGTCAATGGTATAGTGTATAGCAGATTGTATAATAATAAATAGTATAAAATTGTAATGTTTAATATAATGTATAAGGCAATATATAGTATTGTAATTGTATAGTGAATATGCAGCAGTGTGATATACAGTAGGGTGGATAGAATAATACAGTGTAATATTACAATGTATAGTCTAATTTAATGTTGGGTTTGTCTATGGCAGCATATAGTACGGGGTAGACCCGTGTGATGTAAGAGAAAAAAGTTTAGCTGGAAGCATATTATATTTTTTGCGACAAAGAATTGTAATGTATTACTTACTGTTAGTAGCTCAGCTTATTGGAGAATATATTTAGTATACTGATGATACTATGTAGTTTATACTTTATTTTTTTACGTGGTTGTTTAGTTACTGCAGCTACATACTATTAAGATTCCTTCCCTTTATTAATGCTACCCCTATCCCCTCCCTTTGATGCTGCTAATCCTGCATAATGCACGGGCATATGACTTTGAAACCCCCCGCCCACCTCCTACGCATTTCACAAGTAGTACTAATCACATACCTGCATTTCCCATAAATATGCTAAATTCCTCTTGATATGCAAATTCTTTTGTCAAGGCGCCCTTCCCCCCTTCCAACTCAGCTTAAATATACGCTCCAAGCGTGGTGGTGTTTCATTCAGACGCTGTCTCCCCGACAGACCTGGTCTTCACCTGAGGACGGCTGCTTGCGTTGTGGCTGAAACGTCGTGAGAATTATTTTATTGTTTTATTTTTATTATTTTATTACTTCCCTTCTACGTGACTTTACCGAAAGAACCAAGAAGATGAACTCGCATGGTGTTTACACAATATACAGCTGGGTAGCTCAGCAGTCGAGCGAGCGGCTCGCAATCGGAAGGTTGCAAAAGTTCAACTCCTGGTTGGGGATTGATTCGGGTTATCATCCCTGTGGTGTCGATAACATTAATTCCACTTTGTGGGGAAATAAACAGTGGTTGTCCTATGGTTAGACTTGCCCACACCAGGAGTGAGGAATTTCCACCACTGGCTCTGATGAGCACCACCCAGTGCTGATTTGAGCAGGAAATCACTCTGCCGTGAAAATGTACACAATTAACATCACGCCCAGTCAAGACTTCAATGGCTTCTCTCCACTCAGCTGTGGTCGAGACTGCATTAAGATGCAGTGAAGAAGCCAAGGGATTCCGAGTTCACTCGTTGATGCACAGTGTGTGTTGAAGCCAGGACCTGTATTTGCTCTCAAAGACACCGAACTTCAGAAGGTCGCCACAACAGAGGGCCCGCTCGCTGCCGCTAGTCAGCTTCTCCCCATTGACGAAGGTTCCATACTTGGAGCTGTCCTTGACGGAGAGTGCAGGCCTGCACGATGGGCGTGCCTGGGGAAGAGAAAGGGCGACACTTGGGATGCTGCGGCGCAGTCATCATGGGTTATATTGGGCGTCAGGGCACTGGTGCAGTGGTTGACACTCGCGCCTCACAGCAAGAAGCTCCTGGGTTCGAATACTGACTTGTACACCTTTCTGTGTAAAGTCTGTTGTATGTTCTCCCCCCGTTCTGCGTGGGTTTCCTCCTATAGCTAAAAAACTCAAACTTATTTTGCACCATACATAGCAAACCGTGCTAATCGGAGATGCGGCAATCTAATTGGTATTGGCCAAACATCCCAAAGCTGACAAATTCCTTGCACATTACTCTATTGGGATTACACACAGCAGCGGCAATATCTTCCCCCTGCTGTGAAAACTTCAAAGTACCCTCCTAAGGAAAGAGTTTTGAAGCTCGGTGAAGGCGTCCCTGGGTAGGCAAGCGTTGCTGTAATGAAGTGAAGTGAATGTGTGTTGTACCAGGCTGGGCTCGGCGTGCGAGACCGTGAGAACTGCGTGCACGCGGCTAATAGACTGGTCGTGGCCGATGAGGATGCCACAGTCCTTCCTCCCCACCACGTGGCGTTCGCCCACCAGCAGCTGGTGCTCGCTGCCTGCAGGAACACACGCAATAGCACCCCAGCGCTGCCATACGACACGAGTGAGCGCGGGATCTACGGATGAAATGCGCCTTACAAATGTAAGCTGGGAGGGCATAACTGTGGCCGAGAAGATCCGGAGCTTTGTATGAAACGAGAGGCCAGGTAGCTTCTTCCCCACATCGTTACGCAGCCACTGCACCACCGCTCTCCACACACACTACACATACACACACACACGCAGCGCGCTAACCACTGCACCACCGCTCCCTACACACACTACACATACACTGTACACACACAGGCAGTGCGCTAACCACTGCACCACCGCTCCCTACACACACTACATATACACTGTACACACACACGCAGCGCGCTAACCACTGCACCACCGCTCCCTACACACACTACACATACACTGTACACACACAGGCAGGCCGCTAACCACTGCACCACCGCTCCCTACACACACACTACATATACACTGTACACACACAGGCAGTGCGCTAACCACTGCACCACCGCTCCCTACACACACACTACATATACACTGTACACACACAGGCAGTGCGCTAACCACTGCACCACCGCTCCCTACACACACTACACATACACTGTACACACACACGCAGCGCACTAACCACTGCACCACCGCTCCCCACACACTACACATACACTGTACACACACACGCAGTGCGCTAACCACTGCACCACCGCTCCCTACACACACACTACACATACACTGTACACACACACACAGCGCGCTAACCACTGCACCACCGCTCCCTACACACACACTACAAACAGAAGAGGCTCCCGCACACTGGAGCCGCGGACACAGACAAGAGACACACAGACAGGAGACACAGAGACAGACACACAGACAAGAGACACGGAGACACGGAGACACGGACCTTGCGCAGTCTCCGCGGGCTCGAGTCTCCACATCTCCGCGCGCTGTCCCGGTGTGACCTCACCGCGGCGCAATAGAAATGGCGCGAGTGACTAATGACGCCATTTCACGATGGAGCGCGATCGAGAGTGACGTCATTTGGAGATGAGGCATGACGTCATTCCGAGATGGGGCATGATGTTATCAGAGATGGAGCATGACGTCAATCCGAGATGGATCATGACGTCATCCGAGATGGAGCATGACGTCATCCGAAATGGCGCATGACGTCATCTTAGATGGAGAATGACGTCATCCGAGATGGAGCATGACGTTTTTGCTGACTTCCTCGTTGCGCGATCACGTGCTTTGCTCAGACCGCGGGAAACGCGAGGAGCGGAACAGGTGAGAGACGTGGGTACTGAGACACCGAGCCAGAGAACACTTAGACACCGAGGCAGGAGCACACTTAGACACTGAGACACCGAGACATAGAACACTTAGACACCGAGGCAGGAGCACACTTAGACACTGAGACACCGAGACAGAGAACACTTAGACACTGAGATACCGAGACAGAGAACACTTAGACACCGAGGCAGGAGCACACTTAGACACTGAGACACCGAGACATAGAACACTTAGACACCGAGGCAGGAGCACACTTAGACACTGAGACACCGAGACAGAGAACACTTAGACACTGAGACACCGAGCCAGAGAACACTTAGACACCGAGGCAGGAGCACACTTAGACACTGAGACACCGAGACATAGAACACTTAGACACCGAGGCAGGAGCACACTTAGACACTGAGACACCGAGACAGAGAACACTTAGACACTGAGATACCGAGACAGAGAACACTTAGACACCGAGGCAGGAGCACACTTAGACACTGAGACACCGAGACATAGAACACTTAGACACCGAGGCAGGAGCACACTTAGACACTGAGACACCGAGACAGAGAACACTTAGACACTGAGATACCGAGACAGAGAACACTTAGACACCGAGGCAGGAGCACACTTAGACACTGAGACACCGAGACAGAGAACACTTAGACACTGAGACACCGAGACATAGAACACTTAGACACCGAGGCAGGAGCACACTTAGACACTGAGACACCGAGACAGAGAACACTTAGACACTGAGACACCGAGACATAGAACACTTAGACACCGAGGCAGGAGCACACTTAGACACTGAGACACCGAGACAGAGAACACTTAGACACTGAGATACCGAGACAGAGAACACTTAGACACCGAGGCAGGAGGACACTTAGACACTGAGACACCGAGACAGAGAACACTTAGACACCGAGGCAGGAGCACACTTAGACACTGAGACACCGAGACAGAGAACACTTAGACACCGAGGCAGGAGCACACTTAGACACTAAGGCAGTAGGACACTTGAGTCAGTAGGACACTTGAGACAGTAAGACACTGGGACACTTGAGACACTGTGACATTAGGAAACTGTGACAGAAGTACACTGGGTCACTCAGACAGTGGGACACTGAGAAACTGGGACACTAAAGACTGACTGGGATACTCGGACACGGAGACACTGGGACACGGAGACACTGGGACACGGAGACAATGGGACACGGAGACACTGGGAGACGGCTACACCGTTCTACTGGGACACTGAGAGACTGAGACACTGCGACACGGGGAAACGGATACAAGTCCCAACCCCCCTCGTGATGCTGTGAGCGCTGCTGCTCCCCGTCTCCTCCCCTCCTTCCTCTCTCCCTTCCTCCCTGTGAGGCATCACTCGAGGCTGGCTCTCGGCCACCTGGGGTTAGCCACGCACACTCCCCGCGTACACTCCCCGCGTACACTCCCACAAATATTCGGAGAAGACTCCTTGCCCGTGCGGACCCATCCATGCACGCCGCCGCCCCCACTCGGGCGCGCCGCCACCGGCACCACAACAACCACCACAACCACAATAACAACCACCACCACAATAACCACCACCATCACAATAACCACCACAATAACCACCACCACAACAACCACCACAACCACCACTACACGTACCCACACCACGTCCACACACCACGTACCCCACGCCACGTCCACACACCACGCACCCAAACCACGTACCCACACACCACGTCCACACACACCACGTCCACACACCACGTCCACACACCACGTACCCACACCACGCCCACACACCACGTACCCATGCCATGTCCACACACCACGTACCCCACACCACGTACCCCACACCACGCATCCACACCACGCACCCACACCACGCACCCACACCACGCACCCACACACCACGTCCACACACCACGTACCCACACACCACGTACCCACACACCACGTACCCACACACCACGTACCCACACACCACGTACTCACACACCACGTACCCACACCACGTCCACACACCACGTACCCCACGCCACGTCCACACACGACGCACCCACACACCACGTCCACACACCACGCACCCAAACCACGTACCCACACACCACGTACCCACACCACGCCCACACACCACGTACCCACACCACGCCCACACACCACGTACCCCACACCACGTACCCCACACCACGCATCCACACCACGCACCCACACCACGCACCCGCACCACGTACCCACACACCACGTACCCACACACCACGTACCCACACACCACGTACCCACACCACGCCCACACACCACGTACCCACACCACGTCCACACACCACGTACCCCACACCACGTACCCCACACCACGCACCCCACACCACGCATCCACACCACGCACCCACACCACGCACCCACACCACGCCCACACACCACGCACCCACACCACGTCCACACACCACGTACCCACACACCACGTACCCACACACCACGTACCCACACACCACGTACCCACACACCACGTACCCACACACCACGTACCCACACACCACGTACTCACACACCACGTACCCACACACCACGTACTCACACACCACGTACCCACACACCACGTACCCACACACCACGTACTCACACACCACGTACCCACACACCACGTCCACACACCACGTACCCCACGCCACGTCCACGCACGACGCACCCACACACCACGTCCCCACACCACGTCCACACACCATGTCCACACACCACGTACCCCACGCCACATCCACACACCACGCACCCACACACCACGCACCCACACACCACGCACCCACACACCACGTCCACACACCACGTCCACACACCACGTACCCACACACCACGTACCCACACACCACGTACTCACACACCACGCATCCACACCACGTACCCACACCACGCACCCACACCACGCACCCACACACCACGTCCACACACCACGTACCCCACACCACGCATTCACACCACGCACCCACACCACACACCCACACACCACGTCCACACACCACGTACCCATACACCACGTACTCACACACCACGTACCCACACCATGTCCACACACCACGTACCCCACGCCACGTCCACACACGACGCACCCACACACCACGTCCCCACACCACGTCCACACACCACGTCCACACACCACGCACCCCACGCCACGTCCACACACCACGTACCCACACACCACGTCCACACGCCACGTACCCCACGCCACGTCCACACACCACGTCCCCCACTCCACGCACCCACACCACGTACCCACACACCACGTCCACACACCACGTACCCACACACCACGTACCCACACACTACGTACCCACACCACGTCCACACACCACGTACCCCACGCCACGTCCACACCCGACGCACCCACACACCACGTCCCCACACCACGTCCACACACCACGTCCACACACCACGTACCCCACGCCACGTCCACACACCACGCACCCACACACCACGTCCACACACCACGTCCACACACCACGTCCACACACCACGCACCCAAACCACGCACCCAAACCACGTACCCACACACCACGTCCACACACCACGTACCCACACACCACGTACCCACACACCACGTCCACACACCACGTCCACACACCACGCACCCAAACCACGCACCCAAACCACGTACCCACACACCACGTCCACACACCACGTACTCACACACGACGCACCCACACACCACGTCCACACACCACGTCCACACACCACGCACCCAAACCACGCACCCAAACCACGTACCCACACACCACGTCCACACACCACGTACCCACACACCACGTACCCACACACCACGTACCCACACCACGTCCACACACCACGTACCCCACGCCACGTCCACACACGACGCACCCACACACCACGTCCCCACACCACGTCCACACACCACGTCTACACACCACGCACCCCACGCCACGTCCACACACCACGTACCCACACACCACGTCCACACGCCACGTACCCCACGCCACGTCCACACACCACGTCCCCCACACCACGCACCCACACCACGTACCCACACACCACGTCCACACACCACGTCCACACACCACGTACCCCACGCCACGTCCACACCCGACACACCCACACACCACGTCCCCACACCACGTCCACACACCACGTCCACACACCACGTACCCCACGCCACGTCCACACACCACACACCCACACACCACGTCCACACACCACGTCCACACACCACGCACCCAAACCACGTACCCACACCACACACCCACACACCACGTCCACACACCACGTACCCATACACCACGTACTCACACACCACGTACCCACACCATGTCCACACACCACGTACCCCACGCCACGTCCACACACGACGCACCCACACACCACGTCCCCACACCACGTCCACACACCACGTCCACACCACGCACCCCACGCCACGTCCACACACCACGTACCCACACACCACGTCCACACGCCACGTACCCCACGCCACGTCCACACACCACGTCCCCCACTCCACGCACCCACACCACGTACCCACACACCACGTCCACACACCACGTACCCACACACCACGTACCCACACACCACGTACCCACACCACGTCCACACACCACGTACCCCACGCCACGTCCACACCCGACGCACCCACACACCACGTCCCCACACCACGTCCACACACCACGTCCACACACCACGTACCCCACGCCACGTCCACACACCACGCACCCACACACCACGTCCACACACCACGTCCACACACCACGTA